AAAGCTGCTTTTTAACATTTAGGGCATTCCCATTCATAAATTTCATGTACGTGTGTACATTGTACGTGTATTCGGTACATACTTTGAATGAGTCAGTGAAAAGTTGAAACAAGTCAAAAATTATAACTTTCCAACGATTTTGCTCAACAATTTTAATTTAACACCCCTCTAGCTAAACATTTGTTATGGTATGGTACCTGTACATGTACATGTACCATGTGCTTCTCACAAGTAGTAACCATCTCCTATTGGCATGTGCGTGGCACGTACTGCGCAACATGGAGTACCGGAGTGAATACGTCACGTGCACAAAATGTGTGTGAAAGACAATAGTGCCTGATTCAGCCCGAGACATGCTCGCGTACTCCATTCGTTTGCACTACACTTTCTGGTTCTAAATGATGTCACAAGTGCTTCAGTACTCCATGGCACAGAATGTGGCAGTAGTGTGAATATAGGACTCTATGAAATACTGACTCATTGATACAGTGTATACAGGGCTGCCAACTCTCACGCATTGAGCATGAGACTCACGCATTTCAGGTTGCTCTCACGTTCTCACACGCACTTGGGATTTCTCAAGCTAAAAAAATAAAAATAAATAAAACACGAAAATGATGTTTAAATGATGATCTTTTGCTCAAAAACATTGGCTAAAGTGGTCAGAAATCGCCTCAGAAGGCACCACAGAGTATCTACATTTTTTTTTGAGGCCCTTCAGCGGGCCCCGAACCCACGCCGTTGGGGCTTCGCGCTTTCTCACTCTTACATGTAGCTCTTACTCAAAGTTGGCAGCCCTGTGTATAGGCCTACATGTGTACATGTATACTATGTACATGTGTATAGTATTGCGCATGCCTAGAAACAAAGATAGTGAATGTTCAACCAATAAAAGGCACCAGACTTCATAGTCATCATAGTGGGCCAAATGTTCATGTGACACTGGAAACGTGCTTTAACTGTCAGCCTGTGTTTATACTGTTTAATATTTGCAACAAACACCTACAACACGTACACGTCTGCAGGGAACTAACGACACACATGTTGTTTAGAAATGGATTCAAGGTTTCATGCAAATTCTCCTTTCAAGATAACAAAAAAAGCATGGGCGAAATAGTTAAATTAACTGATTGTGTCACACACTAGCCGGCATTTTTCCCCCTCTTATAGGCCCCTACATTTGTGATACAATTTATGTAAATCTAATGTGGTTCACATTCACAAAAAGCATGAAGTGGTTGTCGTGGCTACATGTATACAACAGACATCTGGGTAATGGCATAGTTAAAATGGCGAGTGTCTCAAGAGCACATACATATGTACAAACATGTACAGTACCTATTTGTTTAATACTGTGTACATGTACACGCATGGAGGAAGAAACAGATGTACAGCCTGTCTCCAAAAAAAATGGTACAATCAGAAAAAAAATTGGTTAAATATGAAATTTCAAAATAAGTCATTCTTACTTGGCATAATATTAAAGAACAAAGACTGGGCTTTCCAAAAGTGTTTGTTTGATCTTATTTGCTTAATTGTCAATTCAGAGATATACATGTAATCAATTTAGTGCGATACACCAAAATCAATTTTGTGCCACTTTTATGCATCGTGGGCAGAGTTGTTTCGAGTACTGTGCCATGCTGTCTTGAAGCTCACAACAGATTGCAACTTGGCAAAAGAAACAAACACGATTTTTGTGTTCCGCAGTAAACTGGAGTTAACTCTGGATTGACAATAAGCAAATGAGATGAAACAAAAAGTATTGGAAAGCTCGGTCTTTTTTCTTTAATGTGATGCTCAAAACGACTTACTTATGTTGAGATTTAATATTGGAAAAAAAAAATCGTTTTCGATTGTACCATTTTTTTTAAACAGGCTGTACTGTAGGTCTGATACAGTCTGTTACAGTCTAAGCATAGTCTGTTCATTCGGTTCCCTGTATATTGGTAGTCGGGTACATATGATTCTTGGAGATCGTTAGAATGCCTGTCACTCCCTTTGTTATCTACTTCATCAAGCTCTGTGTACTGTAGATGCATTATTCTATTGGTCGCTAGGCAACGCATCCATCTCAGTTCAAGATGATCACCGTATAGCATTACCGTGTCATTGTAACCTGATTGGTTGTCTTGCAGAAGGCTGTACACTTTATGCTGCAATTGATTAGGTTTACAACCATTAGCAGAGGAACCAAGAGAACCGGGATGGGGTTAGACATGAAGCAAATGCAAACCCTAGACCCATTATTATTATTATTATTAATCATTTCTGGTAATGAAACCAAGGATTCCTCAAAAGCGCCCTAGGCACTGTAGCTCGCAAGCCTGAAGAAACCTGTGGAGAGAAGACAATGAGAAGAAGTTACAGTTTTAGAGGCGGGAGGAAAAGCCCAGAAGAATATTCTGGGGAAAACCCACGGAATCAGGCAGGGACTGAAAACCCAATCCACATACTGGCCCAGGCGGGATTCGAACCCGGGTCACAGCGGTGGAAGGCGACGAAAGTACCGCTACGCCAACCTGACTCCCCACGTCAGGGAACTGTAGTCTGGTTCCCTGACTCCATATAAGAAGAAACAGAGCAGTTTACATACATTGGGGAATTGTAAGGTCAGGGAACCAGTCTAGCTGGCTTGTACCCGTTCATAGGTGTGTAATCGATTGCAAACAAGTGCGATGGTCAATTGGGGCCAGTATTTGAAAAAAAGCCAGTTTTTTCCAACGCTGGTCGGCCGACCAGCATTGGAAATTGATACAAAAATAGCACTTTTCTTGAAAATGACAGTATACCAGGTGCCATGATTTTACAGGATGCTTTACACTGTCATTCACTAACAGTCCAGCAAGGTATTTCAAAATGATTTGGTAGTTCTATTTTTTGATGTTTGCAAATGTTGTATTTTAATTACCGACTTCGCACCAAGTCTACCTAAATGCTGGCCTCAAATTATACAGTTTGATATTCCTGAAGCAGAAATGGGCCTATGAAAAGAAGTCTTCATGTCTTGGGCTTGAACACTCTTAAAGCCGTAGCCAGAGAGCAAGCCGCAATTTTGCAAACACTCTATGATTATGATCATAGGATGTGAGTAACAGCTGTTGTATGTTTCCTATAGATACCTCATGTATGTAGTACAATGTACCTTGGGGATTTGTGCCTTGCACCTGTGTGGTAGTAATTACCAGCAATGTGTAGGAACTGACAAGTGATAACGCCAAGTGTTGACACCATGATGCACCTGACATCATGCTGGGTCATGTTATTACTCTGGCAGGAGTTTATATTTAAACCTGGATGTTAGTTACTATGGAGATAAGCAAAATCAGAGCTGCATTGTGTAGTCTCCAACGTCATTGCTGCATAAACAATGTACATGTACATGTAGTTCAACCAAGCCTAATTTGTCAGTTGGCCATGGATTTTAAACTCAATACTGGTAGATAGGCCCTACGGTAGGTACATATACATGTAAAAAGCTGAGTTCTGCTTCCTGATGGTGTACATGCATGTATGTACACGTCAGGAAGCAGAACTGTATAGATTTTTTTTTATTTCTCATAAAATTCAAAAACAATTAAACGCGAAAAATAATGATGCAACAACCCCCCTTCAATACACAGTTTAAATTTTTCTTTACGTCGCCTCAGTTTTGATCAACCCTACCCCCTACCGGTACTCCCTTTTTGCTACTAGGAACCTTCCCCAATCCTCCAAATCCTCCAAAATGTTACAGTTTCGTTCAAATGAAGGATACCCAGCGCCTCAATCCTTCAACTCGTCAGACAGTACTGCCTCTGAAAATGCATTCATCCTCAATCCTCCAAAATCTTCCTCCTCTTCAAAAACCATTCCATCCTCAATCCTCCAAAATCCTCATGTGCTTCAGCACCATTCATCCTCAATCCTCCAAAATTATCATGTTTCTCAAACACCATTCATCCTCAATCCTCCAAAATCCCCCTAAACCGCCCAGACGATTTAGGAGGATTGAGGTGGGGTGGACTAAATATACAGTGAAAATAAATACAAAATTCCCCCCCCCCCCCTTCCCCCCGAAAAAAAAGTCTAAATTCTTTTCAATGCAAAAGAACCTTTAACTACATGTACATGTACTATTGCTCTCCTTTCGCTCTGGTGCAATTGATATCTTAATCGAAATTAGTCTGCGTTAACCAATTAAAAACAACCCCGCCTTCCCCCACCACCAATCCCCTACCCAATTACCGGCAAGTGTTACAAACAACATGACCATATGCATAAATTATCATACTAGGGAATGAATAATGGCTGACACGCACTGCGATCTGGGGGTCTGCGTCAGGCGAAAAAGGGGAATAGCCAAGACACAAAAAAAAAACCTCTACTGCCTCAAGGCAACAAAATCATGAGGGAGACGGGCCCCACCGCTTCAATAATTCTGATCCTCGGAAAACGGGGGAAGAAACTCTCATTTATTTCTGCCTCTGAGATATATTCTCTGAAGTATTTTTCAGGATGAATTGAAAAGGGTGGACGCTGAGGGATTTGTTTCGTTTCTATTTTTTTTTTCTCCCGTTTCTGACGGCAATGGAGACTACTCAGAAACGAAGGGCAAGTAATTGCTTTTGCTTTTATGAATCCCGGTGCTGAACTCATAGACCATTTACATTCATTTTGTCTGCATTTTCACGAAGGCTCAAATTTCGTACAGGTCTCTCGAAACATTAAAGTTGTCTCTTCATCGAAACAACGTATTTCATTTCGTAATTTCGCCGACGATATTTAGCAAAGAATCGCTTGTGGGGAATGAATTTAAAATAAACTCTGTGCATGCAGCTTTTTCGTCTTCATGAAACAAAGTAGACACAGAATCTGCAAATAGATTTGATAAGCCTTAAAGAGAATGTACAACATTTGCTCTTGCTGCAATTTTCAGTAGTAAATGGATTCGGGGGATTAGAATGTTATAGCAAATATTGTTAAACTGACTTCTATACTACAATCACGAAAGTGATTCGGGGGCGCTGCCATTTTTCCGACCGGTCTCCTGTCCCCATCGCGCCTGTTGGCTGCGGGGGATGCGGAACGGGGCCCGGCTATTTCCACCCCATTTTCCCATAATTCCTTTCCCCATTGAGCCGGCGCCATCTTGCGTACGGGCCGGATAATTGACGTGCCACGTCGTATACGTTCGTTTATGAGCATGCAGCGCATGCAACAGCACAGCGTTGTTGACATGGTTGACGTATCTGTTCCTCCTTGCTCCAGTTTTCTCTTTGAACGGTAAGTCTCATTTATGATATGTATTTTTGTTTGTGAAAAGTGGTATTCTTTCGAACGCCACTGGCATTGAGAAGCATTGTTGTTTGTGAAAAGTGTGAGTTTGTGAGTGTTCAATGATGGCGTAGTCTGGTGGTAGTACGGGGAGGGTTGTACGGGGGAAGGCCTCGGCCCGAGTTTGGCCGTGTGTTTACTTAGCTAGGCTTAAATGTGGCCAATTTACTACACGCTGCATGACCTCGCGCAACTACAGGCCTCACTTGGAACATGTACCCGAACATGTTTGTAGAACTTTGTCAACTTTTGATTTCACAATTGGGCTTTGTTGGTAGTTTATTTTTGGAATTTGCTTTAGTTTGTTTTAGTCCTAAGCCTAGGCCTACTACTACTACTCAGTACTAGCTACAAAAAACTGCTGCATTTGTATATAGGCCATGAAATGTACATTCATTCCATACAAATGATGCAAACTAAATCTTTGTGGTAATCTTAGAACACGGCATATCATACTTAAAACTTCCTTTAAAGAAATGGCTTTCATAGTCATAGGCAAAACAAAATTAATTTACTGCAAAATCAAAGACCAATAACCAACTTAATAAAGAAACCCTCAAATCAAAATTAAAGACGTGATCAAGTTCAAACCTCAGGCCAAAAATAAAAAAATACAGGCAAAGACTAAAACCTGAAACCAACACAGTTAGAATAGTGGATCTTAGAGAATACACTCTGGCAGAAAATCACATGACTCGACAACAGACATGAACCCAAGCAGGATAAAGAGAAAACTAATACATTGATGACTGTTCAGTGTCTCTGCTGTTCTGCTGAGATAAAGTCATATGCGGGGGGGGGGGGGGGGGGGGGGGGGTCACAAAAATACAACATATAAGACATGTTTCGTTGTTTGGCATGTTTAGTTAGTACTTCAGTAGTGCATTCCGCATAAATGGGGTATTGCAAGTTTTCTTCACCTTAGTCGTTATTCTTTTCTTTCTAACTCCTTTACACAGGACTCCCGATGACACCCACATCACATGACCAGCTCCAACCATGCTCCAAGCATGCTCCAGTGCATGCTTCAACCAGTTCCTAAAGCAAGAATCTCAACTCAAGACGAAGACACCTATTCTTTCCAGTTCAACTGCAAGATTCCTGCTTTTTCTCTTTACCCATTCAAAACACATTTTCCTTCTAGCCATAATTTTATTTTTAGAAGTCATGAAATAGTGCCAAACAAATCACTCTTTTCTGCTGTTTGATGTCCATCCTTTTTTTAAATTATGTCCTTGGCTTAGTTGTACCCAAGAATAATGATGGAATGATTACCCGATAATTACTGGCCAAGCAGACTGTATCGATCCTGGCAAACTTATTTGATAACAAAACAATGTCTTCGATTACCAAATTACATAATCACTCTTAAAACTTCACAACAAAATATTCATGATCGCATACCCCTCCGTTTCTCATGAGTTTTTACCAACACTCATTAAAAAAATGTTGTCCTGTAACTTACAATGCCACTGTCATTATTTATGATTACAGCTTTTAACACAAAAAACTGCAATTGCACAATAACCTTTGGCCGTCTTGCTTGAAAGTCTTTCATGGAATGTTTGTGCCTATGGTAAACAAGCCTGGACCGACGTCCCTTGCGAACATTGCCTACAATTATATCCCTTGAGTTTTGTCGAAGTACTACCCTGTACAGTAATGAATGCAAATACATTATTACTAAAAAAATTGTGTATACCTGATTTCATTTTCATAGTTTTGTAATAAATACATTTAACATGTGGTGCTTGACATAATTATGAAGTGCTCCAATATGTCCTTTCTTTTAGTTTTACTCTCTTCTGCAAATAAACGTGTTACAATACTTTGCTGTACAACCCCATCACCATAATAAAAACACCAACTGCTAAAATGACATTAACTTCTACTTAATACATAAGAAACACCCCCTTCACCATAACAAATATAAATTGTTGCCCACTTCCCCGGAAATATAAGTGACCATTCACAGGTGTAACATAAATAGGCATGGGCGGAAAAGCAAAAAACAAAAAAACAAAAAGGCGCGAAGTCATAGTGGTGTAAATTTAATGGGTTGGGGGGGGGGCAAAATGTCCCTGCCCCCCTCTAAAACTGATAAATCGAGAATGTGTTGAGAAAAACAGGCATTTTGTGGGCAAAAATATGTTTTGCCCCCCTCTAGAAAAAATCCTGGCGACGCCCACACAATATCCAACCTCCACCCCCACTGGCTGCCCCCTCCTCTCCTCTGTAGTGAGAACGATGGATACGACGTTGTATAGGCCAAGATCAAACCGCGTTTCATCTAAATTACCTAATTGTACAGTTGGTGTATACATGTACGTCCTTAATGGTTTGGCACCTTGAAAATTCAATGTTCAAATTGACTGGACAATATTCCAGCACAACATTATTTATGAGCTTTATATAATGAGACACTGCATGAGACAATCGGTCGGCAATGAATACTTAATTTCATTCAACTGTTGACAGCAAGACCTTCCTAATCGGCGCGCAATTTAAAACATTTAAACAGTATGAATCCCAGCACAAACATAAACCTCCACAATATCACTGCCTCGCGTGCAGCAGAGGGTATGATTCTTTATTTGACTTAACAGTTGTTTGGAGTTATTAGAGTTTAAATTATCGAGATATCATTGTATACAGTAATTATTACGAAACAGTCAACTCTACCCATCTAGCGGGTGCCGCGCGAAGCGCGGCATCCCGCTAGTGTTTAACATTTTGGGCTTGAAGATGCTGCAAAAACCAAGAAAAACATCATGTTCTTGTAGTCTGGTTCCCTGACCCCACTTAAGATGAAACGGAGCAATTTATAGACTTTGGGGAATTGTAAGGTCAGAGAATCAGTCTAGCAGGCTTGTACCCCTTCACAGGTGTGTAAATCAATTGCAAAGAAAATGCGGAAAAATTAATTATGAAAAAGTAAGAGCAGTTTTTGAAGAAAAAAAACAGTTTTGTCCAACGCTGGTCGGCCGACCAGCATTGGGAAAAATATAATTTTTCTTGAAAATGTCAGCACACCAGGAGCCACGATTTTACAGGATGCTTGAGAATGTCAATCCCTAACAATCCAGTAAAGTATTTCGTGATAATTTGATCATTTTGTTTTTTGATGTTTGCAAATGTTGTATCGTCCCTTTAAGGCTGTACATGTACATGTAAGTAGAGACCCTCCTTTGAAATCACATTATCACACCATGGAACCAACAGCCATACCGGTAGCTGGGCTTGGAAGTCTTTCAAAAATCCTGTCATCCGACAAAAGGTTCATGCTCAATCCGTAAGGAGAAGAAAAGAAAATCAAGGGAGAGCCAACAGTCCACACATGTACTTTTAAAACCTCTCTGAAACAATCTTACAAATGCCGCAGTAAATTTGCATCAACCATCATGTTGATGTCATGTTTATGTCAGATGTCATGTTCAGTCACATTGGCCTATCATCTAGTCCACTGTCAATGCCGATGACTGTGTGTCACACTCAGTGCCAGTGGCGTCACCACATTGTGTCATTGTCAGCATTTTCTTTTCGACGTCACATGGTGATGCCATGCCACCATCTATCCTCTGTCAACTGCCAATGCCGCTGTCATTCATGTTAACTGTCATTGTCACACAGGGATGCCACATTGCTACTGTCGGCGGTATAGTCACTCCAAATCCACAGCATGGTGATGCCTTGTCACCATCTACCCACTGACCAATCATCAAGTCCACTGATATTGTCAATTGATGCGACTGTCATTATTGTCATTTGTCAATCCTCACCTGTCTGCAGTAGTCCAGGACAGCATTCTTGGAGACATCGCATGGTGACACCATGTCACCATCTACCCACTGACCAATCATCAAGTCCACTGATATTGTCAATTGATGTGACTGTCATTATTGTCATTTGTCAATGATCTTCCCTCACCTGTCTGCAGTAGTCCAGGACAGCATTCTTGGAGACATCGCATGGTGACGCCATGTCACCATCTACCCACTGACCAATCATCAAGTCCACTGATATTGTCAATTGATGTGACTGTCATTATTGTCATTTGTCAATGATCTTCCCTCACCTGTCTGTAGTAGTCCAGGACAGCATTCTTGGAGACATCGCATGGTGACGCCATGTCACCATCTACCCACTGACCAATCATCAAGTCCACTGATATTGTCAATTGATGTGACTGTCATTATTGTCATTTGTCAATGATCTTTCCTCACCTGTCTGCAGTAGTCCAGGACAGCATTCTTGGAGACGTCGCATGGTGACGCCATGTCACTATCTACCCACTGACCAGTCATCAAGTCCACTGATATTGTCAATTGATGCGACTGTCATTATTGTCATTTGTCAATCCTCACATGTCTGTAGTAGTCCAGGACTGCCCTTATTCTGGAGTCATCGCATGGTGACGACATGTCACCATCTACCCACTGACCGGTCATCAAGTCCACTGATATTGTCAATTGATGCGACTGTCATTATTGTCATTTGTCAATTATCTTTCCTCACCTGCCTGCAGTAGTCCAGGACAGCATTCTTGGAGACGTCGCATGGTGACACCATGTCACCATCTACCCACTGACCAATCATCAAGTCCACTGATATTGTCAATTGATGCGACTGTCATTATTGTCATTTGTCAATTATCTTCCCTCACCTGCCTGCAGTAGTCCAGGACAGCATTCTTGGAGACGTCGCATGGTGACGCCATGTCACCATCTAGCCACTGAACAATCAACAAGTCCACTGATATTGTCAATTGATGCGACTGTCATTAGTGTCATTTGTCAATTATCTTTCCTCACCTGCCTGTAGTAGTCCAAGACAGCATTCTTGGAGACATCGCATGGTGACGCCATGTCGCGATCTACCCACTGACCAATCATCAAGTCCACTGATATTGCCAATTGATGCCACTGTCATTATTGTCATTTGTCAATTATCTTTCCCCACCTGTCTGCAGCAGTCCAGAATGGCATTCTTGGAGACATTGCATGGTGACACCATGTCACCATCTACCCACTGACCGGTCATCAAGTCCACTGATATTGTCAACTGATGCGACTGTCATTATTGTCATTTGTCAATCCTCACCTGTCTGTAGTAGTCCAGGACTGCCCTTATTCTGGAGTCATCGCATGGTGACGACATGTCACCATCTACCCACTGACCGGTCATCAAGTCCACTGATATTGTCAACTGATGCAACTGTCATTATTGTCATTTGTCAATCCTCACCTGTCTGTAGTACTCCAGGACAGCATTCTTGGAGACATCGCATGGTGATGCCATGTCACCATCTACCCACTGACCAATCATCAAGTCCACTGATATTGTCAACTGATGCAACTGTCATTATTGTCATTTGTCAATCCTCACCTGTCTGCAGTAGTCCAGGACAGCATTCTTGGAGACATCGCATGGTGATGCCATGTCGCCGTCTACCCACTGACCAATCTTCAAGTCCACTGATATTGCCAATTGATGCCACTGTCATTATTGTCATGTGTCAATTATCTTTCCTCACCCGTCTGCAGTAGTCCAAGACGGCATTCTTGGAGACGTCGCGTGGTGACGCCATGTCACCATCTACTCACTGACCGGTCACCAAGTCCACTGATTTTGTCAATTGATGCCACTGTCATTATTGTCATGTGTCAATGATCTTTCCTCACCTGTCTGCAGTAGTCCAGGACGGCATTCTTGGAGACATCGCATGGTGACGCCATGTACCCACTAACCGGTCATCAAGACCACTGATAATTGTGATATTGTGTATTGATGCGACTGTCATTAGCGTCATTTGTCAATTATCTTTCCTCACCTGTCTGCAGTAGTCCAGGACGGCATTCTTGGAGACATCGCATGGTGATGCCTTGTCACCATCTACCCACTGACCAATCATCAAGTCCACTGATATTGTCAATTGATGCGACTGTCATTATTGTCATTTGTCAATCCTCACCTGTCTGCAGTAGTCCAGGACAGCATTCTTGGAGACATCGCATGGTGATGCCATGTCACCATCTACCCACTGACCGGTCACCAAGCCCACTGATATTGTCAATTGATGCGACTGTCATTATTGTCATTTGTCAATTATCTTTCCTCACCTGTCTGCAGTAGTCCAGGACAGCATTCTTGGAGACGTCACATGGTGACGCCATGTCACCATCTACCCACTGACCAATCATCAAGTCCACTGATATTGTGAATTGATGCCACTGTCATTATTGTCATTTGTCAATTATCTTTCCTCACCTGTCTGCAGTAGTCCAGGACAGCATTCTTGGAGACGTCGCATGGTGACGCCATGTCGCCATCTACCCACTGACCGGTCATCAAGTCCACTGATATTGTCAATTGATGCCACTGTCATTATTGTCATTTGTCAATTATCTTTCCTCACCTGTCTGCAGTAGTCCAGGACAGCATTCTTGGAGACGTCGCATGGTGACGCCATGTCACCATCTACCCACTGACCAATCATCAAGTCTACTGATATTGTCAATTGATGCGACTGTCATTATTGTCATTTGTCAATTATCTTTCCTCACCTGTCTGCAGCAGTCCAGAATGGCATTCTTGGAGACATTGCATGGTGACACCATGTCACCATCTACCCACTGACCGGTCATCAAGTCCACTGATATTGTCAACTGATGCGACTGTCATTATTGTCATTTGTCAATCCTCACCTGTCTGTAGTAGTCCAGGACTGCCCATATTCTGGAGTCATCGCACGGTGACGACATGTCACCATCTACCCACTGACCGGTCATCAAGTCCACTGATATTGTCAACTGATGCGACTGTCATTATTGTCATTTGTCAATCCTCACCTGTCTGTAGTAGTCCAGGACAGCATTCTTGGAGACATCGCACGGTGACGCCATGTCACCATCTACACAATGACCGATCAGCAAGTCCACTGATTTTGTCATTTGATGCCACTGTCATTAGTGTCATTTGTCAATGATCTTTCCTCACCTGTCTGTAGTAGTCCAGGACAGCATTCTTGGAGACATCGCATGGTGATGCCATGTCACCATCTACCCACTGACCGGTCACCAAGCCCACTGATATTGTCAATTGATGCGACTGTCATTATTGTCATTTGTCAATTATCTTTCCTCACCTGTCTGCAGTAGTCCAGGACAGCATTCTTGGAGACGTCGCATGGTGACGCCATGTCACCATCTACCCACTGACCGGTCACCAGGTCCATGTGTTTGTTCAGGAACCCACATCTCATAGTCACCTGGGGTAAGATGTGACCCCGGGTGATGTCAAATACACCAGCTACAGCCTGAGGTCAAAAAAAAAAAGGAGAAGAAAGAACATCAAGACGTGTAAACAAAACAACAGATACAGCATTCAGATGAACACGAACAGACAAAGGTCTTTGAAAGTAAGATTTGAGGCTTTGCATGGTGGAGATACTAAATAATGAACGGTTTGCAGAAACACCATGTGCGAATAATTTCTCAACTAAGAGAATGGTTCTGAAAAAAAAAACAGAGGTATAAACTCGACGTTCCGGTCAGTATGCTCTGACCGTCTTCACGAAAGGTCTTTGAACTTAAATTCATGATGCTATTTACATGTAACACTGCCATGGAAGTTTGATATCCATGTACAGTATAAAGTGAAATGCTTCTAGCAAAGAGTAACCCGCCATTTCCAAATGTGACCTGTTCTGTCAAAATCAGACTTTTCTGGGCTTAAGGTCAAAAATGAGATTTTTGCATATTGTTAAAATATGTTCTTTTTCCTTTTAATAGGTGGTTTAATTTTTGAAACCGGTCATTCCTGGGCAAAGTTATGCTACATGTATTTTGAAGTTCATTGTGTCGAAAAGTAGAAAACGGAGAAAATGGCCACGAACGTCACAAAACAGTAATTTTTTTAACTGATATACCTTATCAAAATCATCAAAAATACTAAAATTAGAGATCAAATTAGGGTTTCAAACTTTTATAGTATATTTTACACATGCTCAGGATTGCAAATACGCAAAAATTAGAAAATCGATAAAAATCACCCCCACAGCATTTTTTGGCCCTATCTCAATTTCAACCTCTGCCCAGAAGCGTCTGCTTTTGACAGAACAGGTCACAAATTTCCAGACAATTGTTAAAAAATGCATGCTGTGTCAGCACATGTCCTATTATCCACGTTGCTGAATTGATAAAGCAATCTGTTCCCTGCAGTCTGCACGTACAGTACACACGTAAGTGTCGGGTTGTTAAGAGAAAATGAGATACTACGAAACGACACTTGAAATGGAGAAACATTTAACAGCTTTTTCTTTTCAGGCCATCCATATGACTGGGAAGGTGAGATGTACAGGTAGTGTCTGCCTAATTTCCATTTCTCCATCCCTGAGTTCATTACTATTCACTGCTGGCTACTTTATTATCTGCAAATAATGGACTGAAAACAGTTTTGCAGCTTTCTGATGCCATCCCTGACTGATATTGGAGGGAGTGTGCATAGATGTCCATCCCTGAATATGGCAATTAGATTGGCTCTACAAACATGACAAATGAACAAACGAACAGGGACGAATGTGAACACAGTTTTGCAGCTTTTACCAGTTCATCCCCGACTGATTGCAGGAGGGGAATATTGACATTATTTGGCCATCCCTGAATTCATTGCCATGCACTAGTGGCTACTGGGTCTCCATAATGACACTCAATTAAATTACAACCGGCCTTTGTTTTATTAATGAGAAGTTTTGCAAATAGTGGATCGATGGGTTCCAGCATACATTCAACTGCGTGCAATGAGTGCTACATACATGTATGTGATGGCCTACATGTACATGTACATGCCAACATGTACACACAAGCACAAAAACGTGTACAACAAATTTATGTTTTTTAGTGTTTCGATGGTTTGACATGTTTGGTCTTTTCATGATAACAGGGATAATGGGGTTCATGACCGTTACCAAAGGAGTCAAAATTTTACTTTCTTTGTAGGTCAATCATTTGTTTTGCTTGGGTAGAATAGGCTGACATAAACTTGGGGGGGGGGGGTTAAACAAGAATAGAACCAATATTTATTTCTCAATCAATTTTTTTCTTCTATATCTCATGGGTGTACGTAACTCAGTAACTTGAGTACATAAAGCATTGCACATTTTTTCACAATGTACACGTACAGTATGGTATTAAAGGGAATGTACATGCTTTTGTTGTAATTTTCAGAAACGAACAATTTGGGGGGTTAGTATAATAGATCAAATATTGTTACACTGACATGTTTGAAGTTTTGTGTTCGAAAATGCTGGAAAAACCCAGAAAAACAAAAATGTTCCAGTAGTCTGGTTCCCCGACTCCACTGAAGATAAAATGGATCAATTTATGCCGGAAAATTGTAAGGTAATGGAACCACTCTAGCTGGCCTGCACCCGTTCATGAATATGTAACCAACAGCAAACAACATTTGGACTGAAAAAAAAAAATGGTAAATTTGGAGCAGTAGTTGAGAAATAGTTAGGTTTTTCCAACGATGGTCGGCCGACCACTGCAGGAAATTTATACAAAATACCACTTTTCTTGAATAAGACATCACACCTGATGCCATATTTTTACAGGATGCTTTAGACTGTCATTTACCAACATCCTAGTCAGGTATTTCGTAAAAATATGGTTGTTTTGTTTTTCGATATATTTCGATTTGTATATTCCCATCAGATATGTATTAATTACCAATTACATCGGAAAAAGGAAACAGATCACTCTACCATGTTTAGTCAATGGAGGATATTAAAAACCCTTGAAAGTCTTTGTATACATGTACATGTAAATGTACATGACGTATACATGAACGTACCGGTATTTACTTGGTCATGGTATGGTGTGCATAACAAGAAAGCAATTGGTATCACCATGGAGCTATAAAAACGAAGGACATCCAACGGCCTGGCTCCATGGTATCACACAGTCAAAAGTACAGTAACCTTTTAACTTGCTTTATAAATCTGTCAATGTCATTGTATCCATCTGTCAATGTCACTGCATGTTTATTTTAGTTTGCAATATGAACATTAATGAGAGAGTGGTGGGGTACGTGTACATGCTGTATCAACATTCAATGACAAATGGCTGTACTAATAATACCCCGTCTCATTAAAATGTCACAGCATCATTGGACCTTGTACACATGCATCACTACGGTACATGTACATGAGGATTACTAATGATGATGTTGCCGGGCATGTCTGTATGCCTAACACATCTTCATCTTCAAGTGCAAATAGCTCCCCGATTGTCCTCCGTGCGATGCTGCGAGTGCTACACCCACCGCTCGTGCTCTGCATTGGCACGCGGGCCCCGCTTCTGCCCCTCGGCACGCCGTGTCGCCGTAATGACTTTGACTAAGTCTGAGTCATCTCATCACCACGGCGACGGTGCGTTGTCAGGGAAGGGATGAGACAGGGTTTCATCACCGGATGGGGATGACGAGGAACGAATTGAGGGGATGGGATTTTGCCAGACATTCCATACAGATGAACTTGTTAAACTGAAGATGAGGGTTTGTGCAGCTAGTTTCGGCCTGATGAATTAATTATTAGTTTCAAGAAATTCTGACTCAACTACATGTAAATGAAGACTGTTCAAAAAGATTAATCACACATTTAGAAGCATTTTAAGAGCTTCACAAAATACAAATACCCAGAGTAGAGTTTAAAGATTTTTTTGAAAACGTACATGTAGGCCTACTGTTTTTGTAGACGGACTATACATGTATGTCGTGGTAATGAACATGTTTTTGTGAGTGGGAAGGGGATCGGTGGGGGTGGGGAAGACTTTGGAGCACTATCATAATTAGCAATGGGCCACTCATCTAAAAATGTTACACCGGTACCTGTAGGGTCCATGTTGATGTACCCATACAGTCATGTGTACAATGTTCAAGTATTCTGAAGTAATGCTCTTTAGAAATTTTTTGTGAACAAGTGCAAACATTACATACGGTACCCTCATTTTGTATTTCTGCATTTGGGATGCCATTTTAAGACGTTTCTCCTTATCGACGCGGGGGGGGGGGGGGGGGGGGGGTCGATGGACATTGCAAGTTTCTACTGAACAATTACCCCGGTACTTGTACTATCTTTTATGTTGGTCATTTAAGTTTCTAAGAAAAATTACTGCATGTGCAAGTATACAATCTTTCATGTTTATCATATTTGCGGATGTACTGCATGTACATCATTGTACATGTATGCACATCACATTCGAAAAACAGTGTACTTCTCACGTTCATCATGTCTGTGGATGTACTGCATGTATGCACATCACATTAGAAAAACAATGTACTTCATGCAACATGCGTACTATATTGATCAAATAGAATGTTACATGTACATGAGAATAATAAACGGCGTGTACATGTACCGGTACATGTGCATGTACAGACATGTACGCATGTATTGCTGGACATGTACGCATGTATTGCTGAACATGTACGCATGTATTGCTGGAGTACGTGAATGTAAATTGGCATATTCTGTCTACGAAAACATGTACCGTGTACATGTACAGTGTACATGTAGCTGCAGCTGTTATCTATCATGTCTACCCATGTTAAAATTACAGTTAGCACGGCATTTTGGTGATGCTCAGGGGCTGACGAGTGCCGTACTGTGCACAGACTTCATCATTTCTCTCTTCCATGGGATACATTGCCTGTTTATCTAAGACCGTGTTCACGTCTCCAGAGTGCCAGTAATATCCCCATAAGCCATGGCTCCTCACGCTCGGCGTGTCTCTTGGCTCAGCTGTGTGAGCAAGACGCCGTTTTTGTTTAATTTTCGTCGGCTTGTTTCCATTTGGGCCCGAGAGGCTATGACGCAGGAGTTAAAAGCACAAGACACATTTTAGTTTTACCCCAGACGGAAATGTTTTAGGTCTAGAAAAGGTCATTTTATTTTGGGATAACTGTTTAATCTGCAGGATGGTGCGCCATTTCTTGCTGTGAGTTTTGTTTAACCCTAACCGAACTCAACCCATCAAAGTTCAACAGCAGGTTTTGTTTAAATCTGTTGGGATAGGAACAGTGCCCCTAAACAGATGGTCTTTTACACTAGAATTGGCATACCTCCAGAAACTAAGTCCAACCATAGAGTCCAACAGTGTGTGTGTACAATTTCCCATGTGGGTGTTGGAATTTGCCAGAATGGGTATGGTTCCTAGTAAATTTGGCTGGGGAGTTAGGGTTCACGCAAACAGGAGATTATAATAAACAAACCAAACAGTCATTTTCCCTTCATGAAACAATTTTAGTGCATACTAG